AGCATAAGCAAATAGATGTCTATACGGTGAATGGTATTGAAAACGTTGCTGTTAAGATTTTGTCAAAATGGTGAATACCGCGTCGACTGCCCTACAAATTTAGGAAATATTTAGTTCACACAATTACCACTCAAGATGACCATTTGGCGCTAATGTCGCATTTTTTTGTATACCAAATGGCACAGTGCGATTTAAATTAGTTATTCAATATTAAACAACATCACAGTCATTGCTCAAATTCCAAGATGTGTAGCTAAAGCCTCCGTATTATGGAGTATCTAAGGCAACGAAGGTACCACATCACCCAGACCCGAGACAATATAGAAAAGTTCATTTTCTACATTGACCCGATCGGGAATCGAACCCGGGACCTCGGATATGGCGACCCCTTGAAACCGGCGTGCGAACCACTCGGCTACGGAGGTCGTACACAATACAGATGATGACTTATTTTTATTTCTCTGTCCGTCAGGTAGATTATTGAGAATTTTAAATACGTATAATTTATTATTTGCATAATCAATAAATTACGGCAATACATTAAGTTGAAATGTCGCATGACGTCACACCTTGCTACATTTTTACATAGTCATGAGCCCTCACTCCTTAACTTTAATGCCTTTTATCTGAGCCTAAATTGAAGCAAAACGATACATATTTAATATTTTTCTACTTTAAAGGTAATAAAGGTTCATTATCATTGAAATCTATATAAACAGTGCTGTGTTCGACGTCCAGTTCAATCCTGATTTTATTATGAAATGGTAAAGCTCAATGTTCTTGTATATTCGCTGTTTCAGATTTTTCATATTACAACAAGTATTATAACAATTTAGTACCCGAGCAATATGTGAGACAATTAATATATGTACTCATAATAATATATCCATCACCAGCTTTAATATCCCTACTACAGAGGATCAGGCCTTCCCCATGGATGGAATCGATTACGAATAGAGAGAACATGACCCACCACGCAGATGCAGTGTGGTTAGATGGATGGGTGTAAACAACTCCAGATGCAGCCGAGATTCAACCATTTAATCTGTCTTTCGAAGCATGGAGGAGTTAGAGCTAATGATTTTCTTGTCACTCGCCCGGCTTATGCTAAAGTTGTTTAACTGCATCATCAACCTCTGACTACAGTTCCATTATATATACGAGATTGTACTCGTAGAATCCCTTTGGTTTTGTCTTGTCAAATAGACTTAACATAGCAGCTTATGTAGTCAAAATTTACAAGATATATTGAAACATATTATATCTATTAAGGTTATTTTCTAGTGTAATACGTTATTATCGCGTGTTGTTGTGGGATCAGCTGCCATATCCATTTATATCATACTAAAAAGAGAGCTGTCCGCGTTATTCACTACCGAGGTATTTCCTTGGAGATATCTTTGCGTACGAATAAATTACCAATTTTATCTTAAGATTAGTGTTTCTACATATATGTACAGAAATATTATCAACTACGTATCGTAATTAAAATAACTTTTAAACAGGAAAGATTTGATTGATAGTTTATTTGAATTAGTCTCCAAAACTACTGGATCGATTTTAAAACCTCTTTCATCTACAGAAAGCTACATATTAGGCATGTCTGTTATTGATGTCAAAAATCAAAATCAAAATCAAAATCAAAATCATTTATTCATTCTAGGCTGTTACAAGCACTTGTGAAAGTCGAGAGCTACGCCAACGGTTCGTAAATCTACGGCGGGAGACCTTGTACCGAGAAGAACCGGCAAGAAACTCGGCAAGGGCTGCTTTTTTCTCCCGCATGTCGCGAGTGAAGTCTCGGGAATTTAGACAAAAAACGGGATGCTTTCTCTTGAAATCCAATAAGAAGACTATAGTTTTTAATATTTATGCAGAACCCTCTGTGTGCGAGTTTGACTCGTCCTTGGTGTTTCTTTTTAATTACCCTCTTAACGTAAACTTACAAAATCCGCTCTCCATCTTTATTAGTATTCCTACTGAGAAGTCGGTTATAAAATTAAGTAATTTAACATGGCGTTATGGCGAGACGGGTGATTAAGGTTCTTGCAACGTTCCCAAGTTGTAACTCTTATCGGGATTGCTGTCACGATTAGCTCACAAGTTTGCGTGTAACAGTAAATTATAATAACGCCTTCCTGAGTAGACTGGTGATCCTAACTGATCTTGATTTGAAATTAACATTACTAGTATATTTAAGTAGAGGAAGGGTACCGAATATGGAATACTTACGTGATTTGGACTTTCGTGTTATTGTCACAGGTGTTATTTTAAAATAACTTTACTAAAAAAGAGAGCATATGCCTGAAGAGAAAACTGGACGTAATAGGGAGGATATTAAAGAAATATACATGCCCGTTCCTACTGTTATTGAAGTCCCTGATGTATCTGAAGTTGATAACGCGCTAAGTTGCATCATAGTGTGATATGATCTGTTTTACCTATGTGTTCACAACCTAATAGAGAGAGGAGGAGTATAATTTTTTGTCATTTCAAACACTAAAATAATTTAGAGATTATGAAAAATAATACATTATATCCACTTTAGACACCTTGTTTCATAGTAACAAAGAAACTAGTTGTTTTTTTTAACGTATGAATACAGTTTCTTTTCACTGAAATCGATGACATGGTTCCTCAGGACAGATCTTCGTACGATTTATATTTTCAGACTTTGTCATACTGTTCTCAATGTAATACTTTATACGGTTAGGATGACTATAAGACAGTCGTCTTTGTGGACGGACAAGTTATAGCGGGTTTGTCCTTAAAACTAATACAATTAAAACCAGTCATAATTCTGCAAATAAAACAGTTAGTATTAGAATAAATATCTCATTACTTATCAACATAAACTTTCATAAAAGAATCGACCTAGCTGTGAAATGAGAAACAACGGTTAACGGACGCTCTAAAAGTCCCTTTGAAATAAACTCTTGTTATATCTCAAGCCTCACAGCTTAGCGTTCCCATAACGAAATTTCCCTGGCGTCACTGTCGGGAATATTTTGCTGGAGCGCACCGAAAATGAGGGTAACCGTTTCCGGACATATTTTGTCGTGCCACTGCTATATAATTCGCTTATCGGCAACTTCAAGAGCAATCTTATTAAGCTAACATTCTTATGGGCTCTCCAAATTTGCAGACATCATTATCTTTTCCGGTATGGTAAACAGGCTGATAGGAGAGCGGTTGTAAAACACCTGCTTTTCTTAACACAACCCAGTGGATTTTATTGTAAATCGGAAACGCGTTTCTTTTGTCTTGGAGTAAATGTGTATGAAATTTGATACCCTTTGTTGTAGGTACAGAATCGAAGGAAAATTCGATGGAGAAAGACGAAGAACAGTAAACGGTAGTAAGAGATGGACTTGTATATAATATACGAACCGTTACATCTAGGAAATGTACGATTTCCAGCTGACACAGCATTTTCAGGACTTCGTGCATCGACGACTGGCTTTCGCGAGTCAGTCTGTTACATTCCGCCGGTTCGGTCAGTCGCATCCATGGATTAATAACCCAGCATAGTTTTAGGGTTAAATAAGAATTATTTTTTTAAAAGACTCCTCAACCTAACAGAACCAGTATCTTTTAGGCTTAGTCTATCATTTATATAAATTATTATGGTAATAAAAAAAAAGGTTTAATGCTATTGCTAACTCATCAACACATAACTACATGCACTAAACACTATCTCTAAAAAACAAATTTTGCCGCAACGTCTAAGATAAACTACGGTGTCACAACATCCCGGTTTGAGACAATCTTTTCCAGTATTATAAACATATCGAGAATCGAACACGAGACTTTAGAAATACCAGTCAATCAAATAAAGAGGTAGTCAGTAAATAAGCATCCCTGTACCCCCAAAACCCGGACAGAAGTAATATTATTAAAAGAGTTGGTAATTGAAATACACACAAAAAAAACTGGAAGATTCTTGAAATTAAGGACGTCCTTAAATTAACCTTTTTAATTATGACTTGTCTAGTTTTTACGGCCGAGTAGATTTTACGTCTCAGAACGTTTCGTAATTAGATTGTTTTTGAATTTCATTTATAAAGGTCTTAATGTCATTTAATTAAAAAATATAAAAAAATGAAAATGTATTATTTGTGTGGGCAATACAGATGTTATTCATCAATATAAATTATTCATATATATACATATTGTATGTAGAACTCATAACAAATTAATAAATTATGATAAAGGAGTTAGCTGCTCATGATATAATGTGGACTAAAAAAATTTAAATAAACTTATATATTTTATGTTATAAGCTAATTTATAATGAAGTTTTATTATTTCAAAAGAAATATTCTTCTGATTTTGATATACAAATTAGCAGTCTATATTTGTCTAATCGACAGATCCGCTGATTTCATCTCATTTTTCCTTCACTTTTCTACGCAATAAATCTCTTTCAATAAAACATAATCTGAAGACATTTTTTTCTCAATTACTTTCGAAGGTAAGCCGCTTAAAAATATGTAAGACGCCTCAAGGTGTAACATGTTTTTGCTTTTTCAGATTATACCCGAAGCCAATCTCAACAGATTTACATATAAAAACATTACAAATATAGCGGGTATCAACGGGAATCGTGCCTCTTCGTGTGTACCAAAGCTTGAACATTACAGATTTCATTTCGGAAATTGTATTTTTTTATTACTTTCATCGTGTCACGTGTACCCATACGATCATTACGCAGACACATATATTTTTCTTTACATTACTTCGCTTATATTCGACTTTGTAACCTCATTCAATTTTCCAAATGGAATTATTGAACATGTTTTTGAGAGGATTTGATATGTTTCACCTTGTACTTTCACAATATGTTAGGCGAATCAAATATCTATCAACCTCAAGCTACAAGTAGAGTAGTGAACAAGGAAAAAATCACTAAATCAATGTTATTTATCTTGTTATGTCTAAAAGTTTAAAGAAGATTTACAACATTCCACTTTTTACGAAAACGATTACCCAAAATAAATTTATTTCAAAACAAATCATTACGCATTCGGTTAAAGAAACATACAAATCTTTCAACATTACCCAAATTTATCGACAAATTCTAAAGATAACGTTTTTCATTGTTACAGACCGAGTAAAATGACCCATTGACAAGAAAACAAGCCAAAATGGATTCAACAGAAGACGAATTCTATAACATGTGTTTAAACCTGACCAACGAGGAAGCCAGCCTCGTCGGCAGCTGCAACTTTAGTAGCGAATATGAAAACGGAGAATTATTGGAGAAGGTTGTGTCAAGGGTAGTGCCAATCTTCTTCGGTTTCATTGGCATTGTCGGATTGGTTGGCAACGCTTTGGTCGTATTAGTGGTCGCCGCTAACCCTGGCATGAGATCGACGACAAACCTCCTAATAATAAATCTTGCTGTAGCCGATTTACTCTTCGTCATCTTCTGCGTACCGTTCACAGCCACAGACTATGTTATGCCAAGATGGCCATTCGGTGATTGGTGGTGCAAAGTTGTACAATATTTTATAGTGGTGACAGCTCATGCCTCCGTTTATACACTAGTACTAATGTCATTAGATAGATTCATGGCAGTAGTCCACCCTATAGCTTCGATGTCGATCAGAACAGAAAAGAATGCGTTCTTAGCGATAGCCTTCATTTGGGTGGTGATTTTGACTACAGCAATACCAGTTGGCATTTGCCATGGAGAAAGAGAGTATGCTTATTATGACAGGAATCATTCTTCTTGCGTATTCTTGGAAGAACGGGGGTACAGCAAGCTGGGTTTCCAGATGTCATTCTTTTTGTCTTCTTACGTGATTCCTTTGGCGCTGATCAGTGTTTTGTACATGTGTATGCTGACCAGGCTGTGGAAAAGTGCTCCCGGTGGGAGGGTATCAGCAGAAAGTAGGAGAGGAAGGAAGAAAGTCACCAGAATGGTGGTGGTGGTCGTTGTGGTGTTCGCCGTATGTTGGTGTCCGATACAGGTGAATATATTTCGATTTCATTATATTTATGAAGTAAACACAAGCAAACACCTATAGATGTACATCAGGATATATCAAAAGAATAATATTCTACAATGGATTTTGGACTTAACTATCTACAGATTTAAATTTTCCATTGTAGTTTGACCTTCTGTTGTACCTTTCATACTTTCAACTGTATACGTTTGTTTTCTTAACTGTAGCTTAGCCTAACCGTACATCAAATGAAAGTCGTGACTATCAGCCGTTTACCTGTCCGAATTTCAATATTGAGATTACTTATGATTTATGTCTTATGGAAGGCTCAAGAGAGTAGTTTTAGAAACAAAAAATTGGTATTTATTATGTTCATAGGATACTTGTCGAATAATGTCTATTGCAAGATCCATGTAAAACAACCTTGGATACACATTATGACGTAATGACTTTTTCGTGAGTTTATCTGAATCGACGGTACGGTCCCTGGGGAATCTTCTACCGTAATAATGAGTATCCAGTGCGTTAATCCCGGGTATAATCTATTTATGTGCGGGACTGAATCCGTTCAGCTTGATTGAAAAACAAACAATACTGCTGTGTTACCGTTAGAAAAGCTAGATGGTGCTGTGGTTACATGGTCTGCCCGTTTATTGCCATTGAAGTATTTTCCCCTGAAGCAATATATGTCCAAGCGTTTCTACTGGTACAAATCAAAGCAATATATTGTTATTAGCACTATCAGGAAATATTATTTATTACTTAATACATTTTACTTAAAGCTTTTTAACTTAGAGTATTTAAATATAAAAATACTTGAATAAGAATTGGTCCTGGGGAGAAACACTTCAGGGGTAATATATGGACGAATACGCGTGTGTGGCTGCCATAAGGAGTTTACACAACGTTGCCTAAACTAGTAATAAATTGCAATCTTATCGTTTTGTAAGTACAGTCAACAGCACGTCAAGTTATACTAATCTATCAAATTTATTCACTTGATTTTGTACCTTAATGCTTTGTTAGTAGAACTTAAAATAAACTAGACAAATTTGACGTTATGGTAATTTGACGCGCAACCTTGTGCACAACGAAACACATAAAATTTATTCCCTCCGTAGGTTCTGTGAGACAGTTTCATATATTTTCGATTCGGAAGATTTACAGATAAATATTGCAAAATGACTTTTGAAGCCATTACGCTAAGGGGCCGTCCATTTATCACGTGATATTTTTCAGCATTTTAACCCCTCTCGCCCTTGGTGATACACGATGAATAATAATAATATAGTTTATTGCACACAGCAGAATAAAAAAACAAGTGACAGAGAATTACAAATGAAGTATACAAAAGGTAGCCTTATTACTTATTACTGATTAGCAATAGCTAATCAGCAATTTTGTCCAGGCAAAATGAGGACAAAAAATAAAAAGGTTAAAGATTATATGGGGTATTAGGTGCAACGATAGGAAAGATACAAGATATATCATAATAAATGAAATAAAAGTTTTATATAAGGAGATAGAATGAATTTTAAGACTACTCTCTCCCCTCCACCCAAATCACGTGTATTTTTAGTACCTACAAAAATCTTAATTTCACGCCGCTTTTCGGTTTAGTAAACGCGCCTTTGAGAAAAATAATAAATACACGTGATTATTGAATGGAAAAATGAGTTTTGTTGAATGGAATATATAAGATTTTCAATGTATAAAAAAGTAACATGAAAAGCTTTCGAAAATTGAAATGAATAAACTTTAATTCATCAAATTGTAACTTTATCGATGAGATTATTTAAGCAAGTTAATTGTTCTTACAATAAAAATACTGATATCATTTGATTTCCAGCTTGTTGGTATTATTATAAGAGTTGTACAAGACTCAAGAAATTTCAAAAACGTATTCAATGAAACCAAATTTTTTTTTGTAACTTGACTCCCCTTAATAACTTTTAATGGGGAAGCTTAATATCTACATCCCAATGTTTTTGAAAGACCTATCCAATGATAGCGCATACTATGGGAAGATGAAAAAAAATCATTCGCACTTTACAGGTAGAGGAAGGAATCCTAAAAAAATATTTTTTGTAATTTTACTTTACTAAAAAAATTTTCGGCGTAGTTAAAGTGTACACTCATAACAAAATTACAATTTTCGAGTACCAATAGTTTCTGAGCTAAGCCGCGGACGGATGGATGGACGGACAGATGGACATGGTGAAATTATAAGATTCCTTGCTTATTACGGAATCCTAAAAATACAAATATAAATAAACATAAAATAAAAGGACTGCTGATAAATGGGGAAGCTCTACAGTAAAAAGATGGAGGATCTGGTTAGCTTAAATAAAATCCAAATTTGGGAATTATCAGGATAACAAGCCAAGATGTGATCGAATTTTGAAGCAAACAAGTGGCATAGGTTCATCTAGAATGGTTGATAAATAACAATAAATAAATAATCATACCGACCTTGTGTCATGTCTTGTTCTCACTCTCGATCACGCCTGGTTATCCGATGACGATAACATTGTGGAAAATTGCAACAACAAAGTCTCTAGAGCCCGCCAGATTCGAGCCAATAAATGTAGAACACTTCATTTAACACATTGATCTGACCGGCAATTGACACCACATGCAATCCACGGAGATGACAACATCATAAAGCCAACGTGCGAGCCACTTCATCACGGAAGATATAAAATCTCAAAGTTCGCATTTCGGAACACATTCCGGCAATATTTTCAAAATAATATTACAACGCGTACGTGCTTGAAGAAAATATTTATCATTCAAATGTTTTATGGTGAAACACAGAATATATGAGTTACAGATAGGAAAAGAAATAGTAAAAAGGCGTACAATGTTTTAGGGTTTGTTCAGAAATACAAATGCAAGTATTAAATTGAAACAACTAATCAACTACAATTCGTAGTGTTAATCTGTTTTACCTACAATTGGTCCACAAGCCAGTATCAAGGTGTCAAATCGTTGAGGTCAGATTCGGTATCCGGTCGGGTCAATGTATAAAATGAACTTTTAAATGTTATCTCTGGTCTAAGTGTTTTCTTGCATCTTCGTTTGTTTCACCGTAGTTTACCGTAGTAAAAGTGCTTTATCTTCTTAATTTGAGATCTGATCAATTTATATGGCTTTGTTCTATATTTATTTACGACATGGGGATAATTTCTGTATATTTCTGGGCAATATATCAATACCGAACGGTAGATATATCTAGAAGTATACGTAGATACTTATAAACTAAACATATGACGCACGACTTTAATCAATATCAACTCAGAAACAGATAACAGATCCTTTAATTTCCCGTGTAAATTAAGAAATCTTTTATATTCCCCCTCCAATTTAACTTAATTGAGGCGTTTCCTTTATCCTTTCGCAAGAGCGATATAATTCTGAATTCATTTTGTAAGTCCACTTATTTATTAAGAGATTATTCCAAGACGGAATAGAATTTTATTAATGAAAGGTGTTAGGTTAAGCCATTATATTTTAGCTAGGTTACCGTTCAGTTCCGTATTAAGACTCCGTTGACCATCTATCACCAGGCTGTGTCTTAAAAACCATGGTAGTAACAGCTTCTACTAAGTGAAGGAATGTTGGAAGTCTAAAGTGTCTTTTTTTCATGCACAATGCATGCATTTTATTACTAAGATTGTCATTTAATACCGATAGTAAATTGCCGATTTCTCCAAAATACCGGTTTATTTCCAAATTTGACATTTGCATGTGCCAGTTTAGTCTCTGAGATTATAAAATAGACTTTAAACTAGTATACTTTAATTTTCAGATCATCCTCCTAGTTAAAGCCCTGGACGCGTACAACATCACATACTTCACTGTTACCGCGCAGATTGTGTCGCATGTACTGGCGTACATGAACAGTTGCGTGAACCCGGTGCTGTACGCTTTTTTATCTGAAAACTTCAGGGTTGCTTTTAGGAAGGTAAGTCGATAATTTAAAAACTAAAAGATAGTACTGAGGAGCTCCATGGCCGCAGTGGCTAGCGCGCTCAGCTAGCACTTGATAATTAAAATTTAGTCACCCACCTTAAAATTGGCACTTGAGAAAGTTGCTCACCTTACGCATCACAGATTGAACGGACCAATCGAGCTCCTCGCCTCCTGCCCCCCTCCAGAGATTGCGTAGTACGTAATGTTCATTATTTAAATAGAAAGCATTACAGATAGGAACCACGCCCTTTTTAAATTTTCAGGCTCCGGGGGCCAATTCTACAAAATAAATTTTGTTTAAATCGAATCGAATCGAAAAAGATTCGATTTAAACAAAATTTATTTAGTAGAATTGGCCCCCAGTACTCCGGTGTATTGTCGACAGTTTGATCATCTATCTTTATTTAACTAATGTATATTTTAACACTATAAGAGTTTGAGAGAGCAGCTTCACAATATACAGAAAATTGATTTCAAAAATACACCCGCAGCTCTATCTCCAACATTTATAAGGTTTGCTCTTTACATTGCCGTCTGTTACAGAATCACATTAAAATGAAACGACGAACGAAATTAAAACAACCAAATCGAGTTCAAAGAGAATTATATCAGCTTTCGTTAAAACAATTAAAAACAGACAATGTTATTATATCCTTTGTGTTTGTAGAGGAAAACAACAATTACATTCTACGTTCATTGCGTCCTTAAATGTTTAAAGCCGCAATATATTTCAACCTTTATTATTTAAATGTCAAAGCTTAAAATCAGTTGAGAAATTTTACTGTTTTGTATAGTCTGATATGATGTTGACAGTGCACGAGTCTGTTAATTGTAAGTAAACAAAATTTGCCAGGATTTACCGTTGTATCTGTATTTTGTCCACGAAAAAATTTGAAGTATTTTAAATTTTAATTTATATGTTCTCGATAGAAATATCCAGAGAAGTAAGATTATGTTAATATTACTTGGGATCTAACAGTTTTTCGTGAATTGAATGCGGATTGAAGTAAAATGACCGGCTTAAAGTAACACCCAAAGCAAAATGAATTATCTGTTCATTATTCACACATTAATTAAATTGATACAATTAGTTTGCTCCAAAAGGTAGTGCTTCATTACGTAAAAAGCTTTAATAATTTACTTAGGTCTTATAATTATTTGATAATAATTGTCAAGCACTCTTTTTTGTGATCGAGTTAATATTCCATTATTATTTTTTTTTTAATATCGAGTAAAAATTGTTCTATATATTTCTTAATTAACGTCAAGTTTCATACGACTGATGGCAGTTGGTAAAGAAATATTAAATATATATTATTATTTTCAAATAGGCACCAACACAGTTATTTTAATGCCTATTATTTCATGTTTTTGTGTACTTAAAATAAATTACCATTGGTAAATTATAAATCTTTCTACACCGCCTACACCGTAAGGAACGTGAAGATATAGATATTTCTCTCGAACGACGTGCAAATATAGATATCTAATTCTTCTTATTATAATACAATGAAATTTGATATTATGTAGTCAGATTTAACTTTGTAATGACTTACGTTTCGATAGTTTCGATAAACTTTATTGTTATATACTTATAATTATACAGTTTATCGAAAAGTACCAATCCCAATCACAAGAGTAGTAAAATAAAATGCAACGCCATTACTTCGAAGATACATCAAATTATATACTATACTAGCTGACCCGGCGAACTGCGTACCGCCATATTTTATTTCTCTAATCGCAACTAAGGAAATTAAACCCTTCCGGTAAAATGAACACTTGCTTAAGAAACAATTCATTAGTACATTTTGTTCGTTTACATTCACGACATAAGTGAATAATTGAGATGATAACTATCCTATCCAGTAAGTTAGACCAAAATACGGCTACATGTGAAATTTGATTGAAATCGGTTTAGTAGTTTTGCAGTTTATTGGCAACATACATCGTGACACAAAATTTTTATATATCTAAGATATTAGAATTGGAAAATCATATCAATCATAATTAGGTACTAAGGAATAGTAGTTAATCCCATGTATAGAAAAAGATCATATTGATTCTTACTTATCGTATATATAGGCTGTTAATTTTTTGAGACTCAACAATATGATAGAAATAAAAAGGAATAATTATTTAAAATCAATTAATTAATCGCGTTATTATATTCCCGCGTACATTACTCCTCAGACCAGTGCATAGAGACGTTCCAAAATATCACAAATTATATTTTGTTTCATAAATTTTTGGTCACCATAGTTAAAGTAATGAGCAGTAGTGAATTTTTTCATAACAAAAATATTATCTTCACTCCTACTACACAATTTTACTCAAGGCACCTCAAGAAGAATATTATTAGAAGAAGAAAAATAATAAGAAGAGATTATATCTATTTTATGTTAATCTAATTTTTATTTATACAGTGATTATAGTAATTTTTAACACCTTTTCTCGTAAAGCTGATGTAATTCCACCGGTTTTAAATATGTAAAGCGGGTCATAAAAAACGCGTGTGTTACCAAAGCAAATAGTTAAGTTATATTCCATACAAATTCCATAACAGTATTATTTGCCATTTCGCGCGCTGTTGCTATTCAAATTTCGAACTAATCGCCGCGCGGCGCCAGTCAGTAGGCAGCGCTAGCGCGCTGTTTAAATGGCGGGAAAGCAACAGTGTACATTCACAGATTGAGTTTATTTAATGCTAACCATCATCACGCACTAATATCGTAATGTACTATAACGTTATGTCATTTTGTTTCGATATTTAAAAACTATGCACTTATGATTCTGTACCCTTAATAATTCTCTATTTACTGTCTACTTTTTTATTTGTTGTTTTTTTATACGACTCCTACTACTTCTCCTTTCAGAGTGGTTTTCATGTGAATTGTCCCAAACTTTTATCGCTAATTTGTTTACCAAAACTAATATATTTCTTATTTTTCTTAGGTAATGTACTGCCCACCGCCTTACAACGACGGGATGGGTCGCCCTCAGCCAACGAAGACCACTCGAACCGGCAACGGCAACTCCTGCCACGATATAGTCTGAGAATCAATGCGTAGTCGCACGCGCCTGCCTTCCGCGGACCAAGGGACTGTCGTGTAAATGCTTAAGCTGTCTTCGCGTGTGCACTAAAAAATAGACTCTGTTACAATGTAAATATAGCTTACAATACAAAATATTTTTAGATTGAAAACAAATGTGATGCTTTCTTGTAAATAAATTAGTTAGTGAACGAATATCCCTCGCACGCTGCTATATTTCGAGCCCAAATATGGCAGTGAATGACGAATTTTCGTTATGTGTCAGTGTAATATAACGCTTTACGCATAGTTAATTTTAAGTAGGTACATCGAAAATAGAATAATTAGATATTAAATTATTATTAAATTCCAGATAGTAATAGTTTCAAGTTTGTATAACAAGCTTTATTAGTAATATCATAGTTTAGGAAGATATAATTATAATACTGAAACTACTAATATTACACAATGTAATTATAAGATATTACGTTTGTCAAGTTTATTAAATTGTAATAATTATAATTGAATTGTAATTATAATAATGAAATTAAACTGTCTGTTTACATCGTATGTTATCCTATATGGTTTATGTAAATTGCTTTAACCCTTTAATATAGTAAATGTTTTGATACTGTTTTTGTTTCAATTATGAATTTCTGATTAGTTTTAGTCCCACATGGTTTTTTCAAACAGTTATCGCGGACGAGAAGAGTCTGGAAGTACCTACAGATGATTGATTCTTAACGATGTTCTCTAACATATACCTAAAAATTTACCATTACTTTTTAAGAGAGTTGAGAAGTATTTTTACTTGATTTTATTTAATGATACCTGTCTTTTTAGTCGTCTCGATACAAATTAGCATATAGGCATAAGATAAAAGTACTAATAATAATCTACTACTCTATGCAAATAGTACTATTTTATCCATAAAGTACCTAAGTAATGTTTGGCAGAATGTTGGTATATTAGGATGGGTGTAATAAGAAGATAACAGACCTTACAGTGCCAACTGCTAAAGTCTTCTGAGAATACTCAGCTGAGGGGCGAAACACGTGTTTTAGGATTTTTTCATGAATCTATTTTATGAAGTTTAAAAAAAAGGCCGATGTGATCGCTCAGATCCTTAATTTAGTTGCTTAGACAGTTTTTTTATTAAATTTCACTACTCGAGATACAAAACTGATTTTAAACGGCTTTATCATTTATTAAAAAAAAAAAACAAAAATTAGGGGAGGGTAAGAGAGTAAAACTTTGTAAATAAACCCTCAATGCCATCCTGTCCTGCATCAATGATGGTATAACCAGCTATAAATCTGAGTCAAATCTCCTGATGCTGAAAGGTTGATGGCAGGCAGCAGGGTCGGCCGTACTAGACTCAGTTCTGCGCTCAACAAACACTTCTTTTTAATGCAGGGATAATGCAACATTATGCAAAGGCAATCAAGAACACAGCCCTCAGTTTCCGGTCGTCTCATTATTCCAGGCCACGACAGCGGCCTTGGTTATGGAGACTAAGAATCTCCGAGCTACGAATCGTTGCCAAATTTGATCTTGACTACATTTAAAGGAGCAGGAACGCAGCTTACGACTGGATAAAAGCTTGATCGAACTCGTGGAAGAATTGAAAATCATCGAGTGGCACATTTTAGAGCTTTCCGAAGACAGAGAGAGGACCCGATTAAGCTGAAATCTGGTCACATTTAATTAAGATCAAAAATCCCAGGGTGGCGTATACTTCCCTGACAACAAAGTTCTCTGCGATAACCAAGCCATACATACTACCACTAAAACTATATTATAATTATCTTTTTTATGGGACCATGAAGTATTAAGAACGAATATGTATTCTTATAAGGTTTGTTTATAAAATCCAATATTTCATTCTCCAGGAAAAAGCTGCAGATCATTAGAAAGGAACGCGTTCGGAGAACAATTCAATCAAACCTATTGTTTTTGATTGAGGTAAACCATCAAAAGAATACCAAATTAAATTGTTGCTCAGGTAGTGATCGATCGACCAAATTATGTCGGAACAAGGATATACTTATCTCGTTTGGTGTTTTTACATTAAATAACGTTTATAGATCAATTGCTTCAACTATATAATTTAGGATCTAAGCAATATATTATTCGTACGAATTAACATGACAACTGAAGGCCTATTCTGTCTCTCCGATAACGAAATTTCATCTATTTTCGATATCCTAATACGTCCCTTAAGAAACCCTTTTTTTCAATAATTTATGATGTGACGGAGGTACGACCTGAATAGCTCTGATGCACAAATAATGTTCACGGATATGGTTTTGCAACAAAAGTATATGAACATTTCGAAAATTCCCAAATTTAGTTAATTTATTTAGTTAATTCACACGATACGTGATGTTATTCAGTATTATTATCAAAATTAAACATACGACGTAGGAACATAACACTTAACATAATCCAGGTTTGGGTTAGAAAATATTAATCTATATATTCCCCATATAATTTGAGTTACTCGTCATATTCGTTTGGCATACTATATTTTACGTTGACAGACGTCATAATCGCGCTCAGGGATGTCAAGGAAAAATTTTCGGATATCCAAAATCCGAAAAGTTAATTTATAAATGTAACCGAATCTAACGTTAAACGTTTGGATCGAGTGTTGGAGTGTTGGAAAGAGCGAGTGTTAATTAGATTTTATAACAGTTTTTTGTATATTTTTTGCACATTTTTATTTATTTTATTTATTTATTGAAAGCAACAGCTTTACAGTTCATACTTACAAACTTATTTATAATAATTTATAAAGCCAATTATGTTTCTTATATACATGTTCTGTCAATTTTTAGATTTACATGTCAGCTGCTTAATTAATAAATTATGTTGTTGTTGAATTTAAATGACAAAAGAAAAACTTAAATTCAATAACCTGATAATACTACACGCACACTGTGCAACCGCAAATCATGATTTTCCTACCAGTCACATAAAGATGCCAACACCCACCGGTCTAAGATATGATTAAAATAAACTAACAAACTTACATAACCCATTTGGTTAGGATAACTGGGAAGTAGTTTTAAAGTGTATACTTTACCAGTACTAAGTATCAAGCTAATTAGGAAGCGCACAATCGTTCAGTATACTTTTCTTATAAGCGGCTTTACTTAACTCGAAGATATCTTGTTCCTTGAAAGAGTCATTGTGAGTATGAGCGATTCGCGAAAGGACAGAATTTTTAGCATAATTAGTGGCGTGATATGGAACGTGAAATAGAGGCGTGTGACGACTCCGACGCTTAGGAACTCAGTATGTTACTTTTAATACTAATAGGTTACAGTCCACGCGGCTTCAAACAATATCATACAAAAAGCACATATCCATAAGCTTATGTCTTTCATCAAGTGTGAATAAGCCATTAGAGTAACGTATGCGATAATTAAGATGCCTGATGTTTTTTTTATGTGTTCAATCGGTATTTTGTACATATCATAATAAGGCGACCAGATAGGGCTTGCATATTCCAGAACACTTCTAACATACGCATAAAATACAACTTTTAGAATTTCAATGTTAGAGAAAGGCTTACAGGACCGTAGAACGGAACCTAAATTCCTAAAGGCCCTAGTCCCTACAGTGATAATTTTTTTAACTCTAGTGAAATGCACTGGTTAAATTATGGCTCCAATTTCACCAGTGCATTTAAAAATTGTCCTCCAGCCAACTGCCCCGAGGGGCGGGATCAAGGCGTAAACAAAACCTGACAATGCCCGACGCGAGTATCCGCACTTTTTGGATAACGGCTTCGAAATCAACCCCACAACTACAATAAATACCCAAAAAATTACACAATTAATCCGAAATAATTTCATATACGTGACTACATACGAAATTAGTACACCTAATAACTAATACTAACAGTCTAAGAGATCATGACAAAAAAGTGCAAGAGCTTTCTTAAGCTTGATTTTTCAGCGTGTGGAAAAGTACTAAGGGTACTAATTTTAAAATATTGAAAAGCACCTTTAATTTTTACAGTTTTTCGTACTTTATATCGCCTCGTCGCTACCAGGTATTACAGCGCCTAACCGCACTGGATACTGGGTAACATACTAAAATATCAAGATTTCAAAAGCTCTTTCTCGTTTTGGACACAACCTCTCTCCATCTAAGTATATACAATGTCTAGATCCGAAACTTAATCTGTAACATCCCTGATCTCATTGAAAGTTGTTAATTTTGTAATTAATACAAAATTTAGTAATATATTTGATTATATGAAATAAGCCTTCTCTCAATTAATGGTCGACACAGCCCTTAAGTATATTTCAGCGACGCACACTTAAGAGCTTATTAAACAACGTTTCAACTGAGTCTTAACTCTACTGAAATCATTAACGACGAGAGTACTTGAATCTCTGTAATAAAATTAAATTATGAAGCGTTCTTACTCATATTTATTCTATTAGAAATGTAATAAGAACATGATATTTCTTTAAAGATTTTATTAAAAAAGAAAACTTCAGACGTAGTTGACAGATTAACATGATATTTTATGGCATTAACTTTACCATTTATATATATATAATGTTGAGTGCAAATACATAGTGAAATATAAACATTTGGTTTTCATGTCTTGATGATCTTACATAATGTCAGAGGAGCTGTTCTGTAAATCTATCAATAACTATCTCTTTTTTTTTATATTATCGCAAGTAATTAACTGAACAATTTTTTTTTTTTATTTAGGTTCATATAGTTTCATTGAAGCCCGCGAACGTTTTTGTTAAGCTACTTTCGCAAGGGTCAGTCACGGGATGGGTGACCAAAAAATTATTATCTCGAGCTACTCCATACTTCGGAAGACACGTTAAGCCATTGGTGCCGGCTGACATTGTAGTCGTTAATACTCTCCAATCGGCATACGATCAGCGTTCAGGGTTACGGCCCATCCTCCTTCCCCATTCACTTCACTTCACAAGAAAGGCCTGAGCACCTACAGTGGGGACGTAACAGGGCATTAACCAGTGTAATTATACCCAGTGTATATTACATCAAGTGTATTTGAAATCCACTGAAGGTTTGACTGAGTTAATGTGTACTATTAATTCTACTATTTCATCTAAGTCTAACCCTACTCTAAAGTAGGTCGAATTAGAGTTTCAATTATAGCCAATGAGTCAGGAGCAAACGTCCATTATTTCGCAAGCTATAATTTGTATAGTATATAATTAAGCGGAGCTCTATAGTCAAAAGAAGCTTTGTTAGGTCATGCAGATAAAATTATAACCGACATCATTGCAGTAAAATAAGTTCACTGTCGTTAAATCTTCAGTTTTCGCTGGATTAGAAGAAGATTATAAAAAATAGGAGAGGCCGAGACCCGGTTTGGGTAATTTTAAGTGTCGAAGAAACAGAACGTTGACATTTCTCAGTTGTCAAAGGTATTAGTTTTGCCATAATGTAATATTTTAAAACGTATTTTTATGACGTCTTGAAATGCCAAATGGCAAAAGCCGAGTCTTATAGTCTTATGCGCTACAAACAATGAATCATGATAAACAACTTAGTTGGCTCACGGACTTTAATGTTAGCATATATCTAATTTAACTGTCTGTCATATCTGAAGCGTACCTATCTCGCATGTCACGATGCGCAAGTTTGGATTAGATGAAATTTAATGTAATGTATGATCCAGGTATGTATTCTATTTATAGCTTTGCAATTTACGCTGACGAGTTGAGATGGTTCAAATAAAACAAGTTTGTTAAACTCTCGCAAAATATTTTGATATTGATTCATTTTCTTAGTCTCAGTTATTTAAGATATCCCCCGATATGGACAATCAATTCGGGCTTCGTAATA